CACAGTTGTGTGTTAATGTTTGAGATTTAATAAATTAGATAAGCTTTTTTAAGTAAGAGAGGAGTGGAAGGAGGGTAGAGAGGCCTTTGACCTGCAGTGGGATGATCATGACTGAAAATGAGATAAAAATAACTTTTAATTAACATTTTTTTAATTATGTCAACTGTTTTGCCATTGTTTTCTTTATTTCTTTATTATTTTATATAATTCAATATTTCAGTGTATGGGGCTAAACTGTGAAGCCAGGGTAAGTCTCTTGTTGTTGTATATTTTTTAACATGGATCCAAAACTTCGTACCAGAAAGTGTAGCGTAGGCCATACGGAGTGCGCACAACCTAATGGTTGCCGGGGCTCCGTGTTAAAGCAGGAGTGGAAACAGGATGGTTTTTAGTTCAAAATTCAAATTCAAAAATTATTTATTTGCGTAAATAAGGTACAGATAGTTGTCATTTTCTAATAACTTACGTCCTCTTATTTTGCCTTCAACATCGGCGTGCAAAAATAATGTAGATAATGTAGAGGTAGATAGTTAATAAGAGTCTGACAGTCTCTCTCTCGTCTCAATCAAGGCAGGAGAAGGCCGTCCATTCATAAGAACAGAAAAAGAAAAAAGTTTATGTATACATACATACTATACATAGGTTTCCAATCAGCTGATCTGCTTCTACATCTATGGTAATATTATAAAGCTGAAGAATTTGTTTTTTTCCTTTGTTTGTTTGAACGCGCTAATCTCCGAAACTACTGGTCCGATTTGAAAAAATCTTTCGATGTTGGATAAAACATTTATCGAGGACGGCTACAGGCTATTAAATATCACGATATGATTAATAGGCGCCGAGCAGAGCGAGTGAAACCGCGCAGAAGTAGCTAGTCTGCTATAAAGACTAGAATATAATTGAAATTTATGATAAAGACTTATTTGTTTTTCAGTGCGAAGGCTCGAACTGCATTGCCGGGGTAATTATGACTGAAACTAATACTATATACTAAAATTATAACTGTTTAGTAACTTTACTTATACAGAGTGGTCGGGCAGTGGATGTTTAAGCAGTAATATTTAGATACTTTTTTTTTTAGTTATAAAACGTTGCCCCACACTAGGATTATCTCCTGTGCCGTGGGTGCGTTTACAAACATACAAGTTCACATACACATGACACCCAGACCCGAAACAACAATTTGTGGATCACATAGTGTTGTTTCGTGCGGGAATCGAACCCGCGACACGTTGCACGGCAGCCGGTTGCCCAGCCACCGCACCAACCGTGCAGTCAAATCAAAGCAGTATCTAAATTTTGCGCTTGAACGTCAACTGCCCGGCCACTCTGTATGCAAAATGTTATGAGGCCTTTAAACAACTAAGAAACACAAAATGTTACAGTGCAGCGGAGAGAAATGCCGGGCCGTGGTTTGTTATTTTTATTTGTACTAAAATAACTTTTTACCATTTTTAAGGCTTTGACTGCCAATAAATGAAGGTAAATCCGCTAACGCCGGTCATCAGTGACCCCCATGGCGTTTAACGTGTTAAAATATACAAGTTGTAAACGGATTTGTATCCCGAAAAACGCCAAGAGGTGATGATAAAAAACAATCTTTATTTTAATAGAAGTAAGGACTTCAATACATAGTATAAAACAAAGTCGCTTTCGCTGTATGTCCGTATGTATGCTTAGATCTTTAAAACTACGCAACGGATTTTGATCCGGTTTTTTTTAATAGATAGAGTGATTCTTAAGGAAGGTTTGTATGTATAAGACATGCATATTGCACCCGTGCGAAGCCGGGGCGGGTCGCTAGTCTTTTATATAATAATAGTTGTAATGAACTGCTCAAGGTTGATGTTGCATTAATAACACGAAAACGAAAACGATTATAATTGAAAAAATAATTTCTTTTTGTCTACGTTTCGGGAGCGATCCAATTATACCCTGTTTACTACTATAATCCTGTCTATGATAGTAAAACTAATAACCAAATCTACATAATATTAAAATAAAACTAGCGACCCGCCCCTGCTTCGCACGGGTCCAATATTCATGTATTATACATATAAACCTCCCTTAAGATTCACTCTATCTTTAAAAAAAACGCATCAAAATCCGTTGCGTACCTAGTTTTAAAGATCTAAGCATACATAGGGACAGACGGACGGCAGATAGCGACTTTGTTTTATACTATGTAGTGATAATATAAAAGTGCTGTCCGTATATTTTCATTGAAAAATATATGAAAACATAGCAGGTACTGTTACTATATCAACGCTGAACCCAAAACAGTAATAAACATTTTATGTTTGTTTGTCTGTGTACTTGTGCTCGATAAACTCAGAAACCGCTAATTAGATTTAGATGCGGTTGCCATTGATATATATTTTGGTAAGCTTCGCTTAACATTTAGAGGTAATGTTTGTTTCATGTAAATCGTTTCATAAATAGTTATTAGTTTTTTTTTTTAATGAGTGTGAGGCAACACTAGGATTTTCTCCTTGTCGTGGGTGCGTTTACAAACATACAAGTTTACATACACATGACACCCAGACCCGAAACAATAATCTACGGATCACACAAAGAGTTGTTCCGTGCGGGAATCGAACCAGCGACACGTTGCGCAGCAGTCAGTTGCCCAACCACCGCGCCAACCATACCAACAGTCAGTCAGTCAAATAAAAAGGTTGTGTCAATTTCAAGAGTCACAACTCACATTTGTTTTAATCTGTCCCGATTTCGTGCCTGTCAAAATAGTGGGATCAAATGAAAAAAAAAATGAAAATGAAAATGTACATTTTTATTCACAGTGTTCCGGCAGGAACTGCCAAAAGTCCATCAGTCCAGACTCTAATATTGATGAAATACCAATAACAAAACCAGACTACATTGAAGGTGATGTCACAAGTGATGAAGACGTCTCCGCGCTCAAAGAAGATGAAGGTGGAATCGATAATCAAGGTCAAAACTTCGAACTATTAGAAATGGATGATGATACTACAAACGATGATGAAAAAATATCATTAAATTACGCTATAAATGTCCAATTAACTGATCAATTCATTGACTCTATAAAGAAGAAACTTACTTATTTGAGGAATAGTAATTTGTTGCGATTACTACCTAAGACATTGAGTAACATTTAGGATAATTTTCTAGACATGGCTGGTTACTCTCGTAAATATATTGAGTAAAGCTCAACTTGTTTCAAGTTACAAAAGGACTCTTCCTCGTGAGCAGCGTGCGCAGTCGCGGCGACGTCGCTGTGACTCGAAACTAATAGAGCTATTCTCAGTTATAGTGACCCGCCATTTCTAGTTAATTATGTCTTTTGATGGTCATTATAACAAAATTTAGTCAATGTTGCATGAAATTGTTGATGAGAGGTCTACCTCTGGCATCATTCTTAAGGCTAAATAATCTGCTGTTTTAAGTAATAATCTACAGGGTATATAAGGAACGCATCCAAAACGCGAAGACCGGTGATAATAACACCTGCGACTTTATTTTTTTTTAAGTAAATGTTTTTTTTCGTGGTTTTAATTGTAATCAACTACTAAAGGTTCATGTTTTTCGGAAGCGTTCCGATTTCACCTTATATAAGGTGTTAATTTATTAACTCTAAATATTTTATGAGGTTGGTGGGAATCAATAAACTGACACGTTTAGCAAAAAAAATTAACAATTTTAACGACTTTTATTTTTAACAAAAATAAAGGAGTTGGTTACACGTTTTTGTGCAAACCGTACGTGGGACTGCGCTTGCGGCCCGAGCGAAGCCATGGCGCGCCGTCACTGTCCCCATGTTTTCGCAATCTCTCTCTCTTTCTCCCTCTCTCCCGTTCGCTAGTTGCCCCGCTCTCTTTCCCACTTCTCTCTCTCTCGATCGCCAGTTGACCGATAGCTGTCGCGCGGGAAGGGTGTGGCCCTCAGTGTCGTTCAGTGCTGTGTCCGATCAATCGCACGCGCCATTTTTTATTGTTTGTTGTTCAATATTCAATAATGCAGTTTACGCATAGTAACCGCAAGTACTTAGACATGTTAATGTGGTACATTAGAAGTGGCGAAAATGTATCTGCAGCTCGTCAGTGGTAGTGAGATTAGAAACGCGGACGAATTAAAAATAAGCATAATAAACGCGTTTGATATTATTAAAAGTGACAGAGACACATTATTGCGAGTGAAAAACAACGTAATACGTCGCGTCGTACAAACTTGTGCATCGAACAAAGTGGAAGACACTTCCAAGTTCCAGCATCTTCTGTAAATAAGGTAGACTCTTTGTTAATACTTAGGTATCTAGAGACGGGCATTTATTCCGATGAATACTTGTAAATGATAAATACCTAAGTAACTACCAACCTACCACCTAGTACTCGTACTACTAACTACCGAAGTATTGGTTTTTGGTTGAGTTATTATTAGTATTTACCTATTCAAAAAATTGACATAATTAATCATTGTAGCTATGCTATTTTAAATATAAGCATATCAATTCAGTTAAATAACATAATCTAAACAGAGTCGTGTGGTCGTTTATTAAAATGAAACATTATTAAGTTCAGTAGTAACATAAGCGCGCGGTACCATGACACCTGCGTCAGCGCGGTCGCTCGGGGCTTCGTCGACGGCCTAGTACGCCGTACGGCGCGCATATTAGGCTGTTTACGTGTAACACAAATAGTGGAATAACTTTAGAACGGTAGCTTTTTTTTAAATTATTTTTTCGTGATTAATTATGGAATAAATGTTACAACAAAACCTTAGATTTCCTAGAGTTAATTTATTAACACCTTATATATGTGTAATCAAACTTCAAAAGCAACAAAAGTTAAGGGCAGAAGAAGAGAGTAACCTATCTCCTCTAATACATCTTACAATCTTAAAAAAATGGTATAGGCTTTGTGCCCGATGCCCCATTATCATTAAGGATTCACTTGTAATGTAATTTAGAATTTGTATGTATAGTAATAAATACTATTTTTCAATATCTCTTTTATATCTATCATTCCCTGGAGTAACGGCGGTGGAGAGATCACAGTAGAAAAATATTTTGGTGTCCTCATTGGAGACATATCTAAAAAGGTCTGGTATGACGCATGCTTAAGCCTCTAACTGCCGACAGACTGCTGAAGGCAAATCCTCCGCTAACGTAGGTCACCGGTGACATACGCGGCAGTTAACGTGTTAAACAGCGTACTTGTTGGACCAGACGTGTGAATATGAAGGAAACTATTGATTAAATTATTATGTATTCGGTTTACTCACGTAGTGTTTCGACGAGGAACTCGACTATTTTCCATGCTAGAGGCTCATATTCATGAGCAGCATTTCGCGAACCGCGACGCGGCGACTGTCGCGCTTCTACTGGCTACTCGAGTCTTCTGGCCCAGCGCGCCCTCTGCCGTGATTCACGCGCACTTTCTTCCATTCGTGGTATCGGCGACGACGGCGCGCGTGGCACTGTTGGCACCCTAGACTCGCCCGCCGGCAGCTGCGTTGGTGTTGTTGGGTTCGAATCCAGGGTCGACGCAAAAACAGTGTTACATACCGCGCTCACTTTGTCACACTCCAGACCCGCAACACTGTAGTCTGACGCAGATTTCAGACTCAGCTTCCAAACTACTGATTAATTTATTTATTAGTTGATACTTATAGTGTCTGCCTATCCCCACAAACTTTACTGCACGAAATGCATTCAGAAAGTCGTCAATGAGGCAAAAAGGTTCTCGAATGGAGGCCACCAATCGGTTGCTGGTTTGTTGCCTTCGAGGTCACTTCCAATCAGCAAATTGACAAAACGTCTTGGGGTTGATCATTTTACTTGGCTGATACAATTTTGGCAGGTTTTGTCAGACGATAATTATGTTATTTATCACGTTATAAAATATGTAGCTACTACTCGTTTTTTCTGTCATAGATTGTGATAGACTACTTGATACGTCTGAGTACTTTATAAGATACTATGGAGTTTCTTACTCGTTCTTCTCCATAGGAATCTACACCTTGGAATGAGCAAATAGCTTCACTTAAAATTTTATTGTTGACGTTCAAAAGTGCCATTCTGGTCTAATTGAAATAAACGTTAAAATAATAAGCTTTACATATAGAGGAGTGGAAGGATGGTAGGGAGGCCTATGCACTGCAGTGGGACGATCATGGCTGAAAATAATAAATAATAGTAACTGTCAAATATTGGCGTGACTCTAGCTATTTCCTTATTGGACGAAGAACGAGAGGTTTACACTAGAATGTAAAAATACGGTAGGTTCCATTCAATCAAAACAATATAGGGGTGAGAATAAAACAATAAATTTATCTTTCTATATTAATATAATATAATAATGAACTGTCTCCTTATATATTTTTAATAACCCTACAGTTCCTTTATGCAGACTTACAACAAATATAATTAAATACAGTGATAATACAGGTTCACGTTAAACTATCCGTTAAAATTCATTTTTCCAGTAAGATTTTTCTTATATCGCTTTATACACTCATGCCATGTAACATAATGGACATTTTTTAACTCGTCGAGCACCGTCATTATAGACACAATTATAGAACAACTAGCTGTTGCCCGCGACTTCGTCCGCGTAGAATATTTATCAAGGGATATTCTACGGTAATGGATGTCGTCAGAATTGATTCAGTCCCGTAGATGATAGCGTGATAATATGTAGCCTATATGTTTACCAGACTTGTTAGTAATATTCATACAAAATTTGAAATAGTAGTGCAGTACTTTTTGAGATCATCACGGCCATACATACAGACAAACAGACAAAAATTCTAAAAACCACATTATTGGCTTCGGTATCGATTAGAGATCACGCTTCAAATATTCTTTTAAAAAATATTCAATGTACAGTTTTGACTTTTCTACGATTTATTATATGTGTAGATAGCTGTTGCCCGCGACTTCGTCCGCGTAGATTAATGACTTCTGACAGAATTAACCAGAATCAATTCAGTGCCCAAGTAAGATTTACCTATTTTGAAATGATTTATCGTAGTTTCAATAAATAAATAATCCCGCAGGGATCTTACCAGTACAGTGCCCGATCACGTAAGGTTTGAGTAATAAAAACTATTCTATCGACTATTGTTGTACCGAATCTCTCTAGAATAAGTTCAGTGGTTAAGAGTTAGAGAGTCCTGGGGCATTGACGCATAGTTCCCGTTCTCGTGAGACATCTGTGAAAAAACTATCATACGTTACCCAGGTCCCAAATCATCGTTTTACCGAATGTAATTCAAAAAGATTCAATGATTCTAAATTCAACGGCTAAGAAGATTTATACAAACTCTCATTCCCTATTTTATCCCCTTAGGGGTGGAATTTATCAAAATCCTTTCTAAAGAGATACCTATGTCATAGTAACTTTATGCATGCAAAGTCTCAGCCCGATCAATTTAAAACTGGCAAAGTATCATACTTTGGGGTGAGAATGTTCAAAAACCTTTCTAAAGGGACGTTTACGTCATAATATCCATCTGCACGCCGAATTTCAACCCGATCGGTGTAAAACTGACAAAGCCTCACACAAACGTTCATCCCCTATTTTACCCCCTTGGTGGAAATTATCAAAATCCTTTCAAAGCGGATGCTTACGTCATAACATCTATCTGCATGCCAAATTTCAACCTGATCGGTTTAAAACTGACAAAGGCTCATATAAACTTTCATCCCCTATTTTACCCACTTGGGGGTGGAAATTATCAAAATCCTTTCACAGCGGACGCCTACGTCGTAACATCTATCTGCATGCCAAATTACAACCCGATCGGTTTAAAACTGACAAAGTCTCATACAAACTTTCATCCCCTATTTTACCCCCATTGGGGGTGGAAATTATCAAAATCCTTTCACATCGGATGCTTACGTCATAACATCTATCTGCATGCCAAATTACAACCCGATCGGTTTAAAACTGACAAAGTCTCATACAAACTTTCATCCCCTTTTTTACCCCCTTGGGGGTGGAAATTATCAAAATCCTTTCTTAGCGAATGCCTACGTCATAACATCTATCTGTATGCCAAATTTTAGCCCAATCTGTCCAGCGGTTTGTGCTGTGCGTTGATAGATCACTATTTCAGTCAGTCAATCAGTCAGTCAGTCAATCACCTTTGAATTTTATATATATAGATAGGTTGAGGTCACCGGTGACCGCTTGGTGTTTGACAGTTTAAGTTTTTTAAACGGTTTCATTGAACTGTATTCTACCAATCCAGCTGTTTCGTCTGATATCCATAATAGAGGAAGATGTGGAAAAAATAAAAAATATAATATGGACATTGTTCAGAAACTTCTCGTACATATCGATGACGTCGACGGAGGCGGCACTGGCGATGGCATCAGAGGGGGGACAACGCTGCGCGGGGAGCAACATGTGCGAGGATCGCGGCCCGTCCTTTTCCACTCGATCAGCTGAGAGCACTGTACCTTCGCGCGCCGTATAATATTATATTTGCTAAAGCACACCTACCTACCGTCAAATAAACTAGTACCCTTTAAACTGTCAAACACCAAGCGGTCACCGGTGACCGCAACCTATTGTTCTATAATTGTGTCTATAATGACGGTACTCGACGAGTTAAACAGCATCATCAATTATACAGTCCAAAAAACTCTCCCTAACAGACATCAAGATTAAGAGTCCCTAATATCAAATCGATCTATCATCAGGAAGGGGGTAAAATTCCAATTACTACATATGACCCACACAAATAAACAGAACAAGCTAGATAAAATCGTTTAATAACAATAAAAATTAAGGAATATGACATCCCGTTCCTTAAAGATTAAAAGACATTAAGTTATAAGGGCCTCTTTAGTTAGCAAAAATATTAAGATAAGGATACACTGGGAAAAAATGTCCCAAAACATGTATCGGCGACATATCAAATGAAACCGGCCGATGTCACCAGATTTATACAGTGACAACGTGCAACTTATGTCCACAGCGACGTTGACTTTGCCAAAGATGTCAACCAAAGTCCGGCAACGTTGCGCTACTTCACCCAACGTCGCTGGCGACACGTGTCCCAGGACGTTTGTCTCCTAGCGTATCCTTTAATTTAATTTTCTAATAATAATAATCCTCATTTTTTAGTTTCGTATTGTCTTCGGGTTGCTCCACACGTTGCGCTTGACGACCATCATTCTTAGGCTTGTTGTCATAGTTCGGATATAACTGATCAAATGTGGCATTTGTGACAAGAGTCTCTCCATTGATAGTGTAGATACAGGACAGGAGTGTACACTGAAAATAAGTTTATACTTATTTTTATTTAATAATAATAACTCTTTTTTAAAATATGTTTTAAAAAACCGACTTCAATCGCATTTTCTTTTGAAATCGGCGACGACGACTTCTATATCAGCCGAATGGAAGTCATCAAACGATTTGCACCTTGCTTTCAATAGACTCATAATAAAATTTGTATTTCACACTCAATTATAATGATGATAATGATGGGCCGTTAGATAAAATATCCCTTAATCTCCAATCCCCAAATTACTAACCCCCAAAAGGCCGGCATTGCGCTTGTAACGCCTCTGGCGTAGGTATCCATGGGCGGCGCCGATTACCTACCATCAGGTGATCTGACTGCTTGGTTGCCGACTTATCCCATGAACAATATTGACGTTCGAAATTTCAAAAACCACGAGTTGCAGTCCTAACTATAATTACTGTTATTTCAACCCAATATATATACACTTGGGAGCACGGTATACAAGCTACTAACGTGTTTGTTTGTTTGTTTCACAACGCTTGATTCCCTACAATATGGTTGAGTTGAGCGGTGCTGGTGTACGTGTCATGTTCGTAACGGGCACCGTCAACTGGAACTGGTCAGCACCAGGCTGCATTATTTATTGCCTTTAAGATTATTTTCTTTTTCTTTTTCGATCTCTTTGACTGCATTTTGGTGTTACATTGTTCTCGCTCAATGGAACCAATGAAACGGTGTAACTGGAGAATTTAATTTTGAACCTGATTGGAAAAGAGTAATCTATGGAGTTTCTGGCTCGTTCTTCTCCATAGGAATCTATATATTGGAATGAGTAAATAGCTTCACTTTTAAATAAGTATTGTTGACGTTCAAAAGTGCCATCCTGGTCTAATTGAAATAAATGATTTTGACTTTGACAACAAAATGTTTTTTTTATACCACGACGGTGGCAAGAGAAGCCCACGGCCCACCTGAGGTAAGTGGTTACCATGTCCTATGAACGCTTGCAACATATGGACCAGACGGATATTAAAATAAAAATTAGTCATCTACCCTATTACGTTCTCATTAAAAAGGTTATTAAATTGCCTTTTGTAAGACCTACAACACGAATTAATAATTATAAAACTGCTATAAGAAAACGTAAATGAAGAAAAGAAAAAACACTGAAGGAAATTTGCTCCGCTTGCTTTGCTCCCAAATATAAGAATCGCTTCACAAATCTCCAACAATTTTGAAATGTAAAATACTAATATAGAAGGCAAATAGATATTCTTTCAAGATCTGACAAAATATTAGAAGGGCAGCATACTGTTTGATCAATATCCTTGGTTCAATATTAACGTTGCTCTTTTCCTGAACAAAACATTACATACAGGCGAATCTTTCCTTTGTATACGGTCAGTCATCAACCTATACAAAACCAGTATATCATGGTCTTGCTTTCTATAATCTTACGGCACATTTGACAGTCAGTTTATACTGGTTAGTATAGCTTGAACTGTACTCGTTTGTACCAATGTTCGTATTTGATTTTTAAAATTGCTACTGTGAGCAGGTGCGATGAACAATTGTAAAGGTTTGTGGAATGTTTTGTGAAAGTATGAATTTGAGTGTTCGAATAAGTATCATACAAACTTACTGTAGCTTCGCAGCCTTTACCCCAACACTGGAAAACAATAAATTATGGAACTTATGCCATACTGAAAAGTTACTTAATTTTAAGTCGTGCTTAAATATCGTGCCATCTCTGTCATTTTACAAAGAATTTGTAGAGACAGAACTATACTTAAGCGCGACTCAAAATTGAGTAGCGTTTCAGTATTCCGACATTAGTATCATACTTTTTAATTGCACAATGCACATCTACAGTGTAACCTATTTTTATTCATTTATGTTTTACTAGCTTCTATCAGCGGTTTTGCCCGCATACCCTAGGATAGAAAGCGTTATGCCAGACCATATTCTACCCCTGTTCCAAATTTCATCATGAACCCTTCAGCCGTTTTGACATCAAAGAGTAACAAAGAAACTTACAAACTTTCGCATTTATAATATTAATAATAGGATTCATTTAGCTATGGTTTAAATCCTATGTAATATGGGGAGGGCTTCTTGACATAACTATGCACAGTATTAGAATACTACTGTGCATAGTTATTAAAAAATTCTAAATATAGTTACATATTTTAGCAGAATGAGACCTCTTGCTAGTCGCGCTTAAGATCTACAAGCCAGTAATAATAATAATTGCAATACGATTTTTAATAAAATACACAATAAGGTACAAAAATACAACACGATACAACATCATGTTCTATTCCAAAAATAAACATACAGAATTATATAATTAGATATAAACAGTACAATATTTTTAGTGACTGACACTGAAATCAATCACTATTTTGAAATAAGGTCCCTCAAAAAACGATCAAACCCTATACTTTAACGTAATACAAATAAAAAAGTAATTAAATTCCACACATACCCGGGACTCGCAATTCATGCCTTCACACTGCAATTCAATAAAACAATCCACATGTGATTTTACAATGCAATACTCGCTGTATAGTCATGGTTGTTTTTTTTTATGGCATAAGCCGGTAAACGAGCAGACGGATCACCTGATGGTAAACAATCGACGTCGCTCATGGACACCTGGAACACTAGGGGCATTACAAGTGCGTTACCGGCCTTTTGGGAATTAGGAGTTTGAGGATCGTTCGGGATTCAGGAATTGGGATAGGGGAGGGTAATTGGGCCTCCGGTAACCTCACTCACACGACGAAATACAACGCAAGCGTTGCTTCACGTCGGTCTTCTGTGAGGCCGTGGTATCACTCCGGTCGAGCCGGCCCATTCGTGCCAAAGCATGGCTCTCCCACGCCGATAAAATCGTTAAGGATTGTGGTTCGTATTTCTAGTGAATTAGAATCGTACAACTCTCATATTTTCATCCAATAAGAAATTAGCTAATATGACGCCATCGGTCATTCTATTTTCGACAGCTACTGTCATTGGACACTCTGATTTCTTCCTAAATTAGCACCATGTGGTGTTTTCGAAAACGGTATTGAACATGCTCAGATAATATAGGCTGTGTTTTTACATGGAGTTTTTTGTAGTTACGTGACTTAATATAGTCTAACATCTCGCTATTTGTCCCCAAAAGGGTAGGCAGAGGTGCACATTACAATACTTAATGCCATTGTACTATGTAACAGCCACGTTTTTCACTATTTATGTTACGAGTCTCATGTAATAGGGGTGAGGCTTTCGTCATAAACCGGGCGCTTTACCATGTACCGGGGATTTTTTGTAGTTACATATTTTTTGATAGTGTATCTTAATAAATATGACTTTATATGGAAGCTTTTACTACACATATGTGTGATAAACCCAGTTTTCACTATTTGTAGGCTTTCTACGAATACTATTAACACGACTAAGTAATCAAACTAGATAGCTTGAGCTCCAGGGTCGCACTCCACATCATCGACTGTGACCACTCGATAACTCAACCTCACAGAGTAATTAAATAATAATAATATTTTTACAAAAACAAATAACATCAAAACACTTTCACAACATGGTAAATTAAAAAAGAATCTCGAATCTATTAATTAATATTTTTCAAAAATGATTCATGCGATGCATCATAAAATATCTATTTTCATACAACACAGTACACCATTTATTAAATCTTTCCTCGAAATCAAATCAAACAAACTGCAGCATTTAAAAATACATTTTGTATCAAACACAAATTCTCAATAGTAAACGAATGGTTCAAAGACATAAATTGAAAATGAAATATTTACCTTTGCAGTACATTTCTCGCCAATGCACTGGGAATTGAAAGTAAACTTTAATTTTATACTACTTGGGTTCAAATTTCAAAATCATTTAGACAGTTACTGCACGATATTGTTTGCACTGTACGAACAAATTAATTTTCGAACTCAATTCTTAAAAACCATTTAGTTGCTACGCCGTTCGTAGTACCTACGTAGCAGTGCTATGAATGCTACGGCGTAGCAAATGACAATTTTTTTAAACGTGCCCCACACTGGTATTATCAATTATCTCCTGTATCGTGGTTGCGTTACAAACATATGAATTCACATACCTAAACCCGAAACAACAATTTGTAGATCACTCAGTATATTTGGAAATACATATTTTAACCCTGAAGAACATTTTCTGAGATATAATTATTATATTTTAACATACCATTGAGAAACAGGCAGGTCCGTTGCACTAAAGAAAATAAACATCATACAATAAATTATTCAATAACTACAAGGACTATACATCATACAATAAATTATTCAATAACTACAAGGACTATTGATAATAAAGGATTAATAAGGGAGACTAATAGTGCTTTTCCCTAAGCACTCCTAAACGATGTCTTAACTAAAAATTACTTAGCGAGACGGAGCACCTAAGCTAACTTTTTACTTATACTGTTAGGTGTCACCTACAGACAAAAAATCGTTAAATGTCACCTATATTAACTTCGGGATTCGTTAAAATTTAGGAGAGGTCAGTCTAACAATCGAATCAAACCCTCGCTCACACCGAGACTTTTTTTATGGAATAAACCAGTAAACGAGGAGACGGATCACCTGATGGTAAGTAATCGGCGTCGCCCATGGACACCAGGAACACCAAAGGTGTTACAAGTGCGTTACCGGCCTTTTGGGGATTAGGAATTAGGATTGTTGGGGATTTAGGGATTGGGAAAGGGGGAGGGGGTAATTGAGCCTCCAGTAACCTCAGTCCCATGACGACAACACAACGCAAGTGTTGATTCGCATTGCCGCGGAGAACTTAACGGGTTACCGCGGCTCCGGCTCGAAGTGCATGAGTAGGAACGAGTTAGTTTTCAGTCAGTAAGAGTCTGAGAAGAGTCCCGCTTCACCTATGCGGGAGAAGTCATTTGATGATTAAAAAACAGCGTTGTTTCATGATGGTTTTCTGCCGTGGTATCACTCTAGTGAAACCGGCCCATTCGTGCGGAAGCATGGCTTTCCCACACTTAAATAAACTACAAATGCATTCCAGTAAAATAGTGAAACAAAACAAATATCGAATGTTTAACAGTTTTAATATAAAATGTAACTTACATTAGCATTGCAACCAACTCCCACACACTGAGAATAAATACAAAAGGATGTTAGAATTTAATACATTTTTCAATCTGAATAATGTGTGGAAGGTCAAAGACAAAGGATTTTATTTGATAATGTGAAGATATTTTACAAAGTGGAAAAATCTATGTATAAAATAAACGAATGTCTTATAGGAATTTTACACACATAATGTCTTAATAGGACTGCACCAATTTAGCGTACGAATAGAAAAGAAAACATGTACAGTAATTTGGGTTAGTATCCGGACGACTAGAAAAGTGGCCAACTACCAAACCATCACCAAAAGGTAATAGAATCGTAAAAGTAAATCGTAAAGTTTAAGTAAGTTTTAGGTCATCATCATTATTAACAACAGCCTATAAACCCCCACTGCTGAGCAAAGCCTCTTCTCTAAGAAGGTTTGAGCATTAATCACCACGCTTGCTCAATGCGGGTTGGCGAATTAACAACTTATAATTTGAAATTATAGGCTCAGGTTTCTTCACGATGTTTTCCTTCACCGTTTGTCAGTGATGTCTAGATAATCTTAGAAAGTACATATAACTCGGAAAAAGTCACATTGATACTTGCCGTTGGTAGGTTTCGAACCCTCATGCATGAGAAGCGGGCGTCTTAAACCTCCAGGCAACCACAACATTTAAATTAATTTAATTAGTTTTAGGTACAATTAAATTAAAAGAAATTACATTACCCCAGATGCACACATTTCCCCGCGGCACTGAATAGGATATGAATAATAATATATTTAATATTATCATAATTATAATATTAAAATAATTGCACATAGGCCATTATTTTAATAGTGATTAAAATTAAACTATAATTAACGTATACTTAAACAATAATTTTACTCTTTCGAAGCATCGCTAAATAAACAATTATGTTTACAGCATTTACAGCATCTCTATATAAACAGTTAAGTTATGGGTCCCATGTAATATAAATAGAATAATATGACTATTACTTTTCACCTTGCTTTTGGGATATTGCATGTTATTACCTAAATTATTGAAAATTAAACTTACCTTAGAATCACACTTGGGCTTATGACACTGAAATTAATTAGTACAGAAAAATTACATAATTATTAATTAATATTATTTGTATATCATACGAATAATTGACCGACTGACTCAGTAACAGCGCGACAGTCGCCGCGTCGCAGATCGTGGAACGCTGCTCATGAGTATGAGCCTCTAGCATGGCTTGAAACTAACCGAGTTTCTCGTCAAACAGTTACGTGAGTGAGCCAAAAACATAATAATTAAAGAGTAGTAGAGAATCCGTGTAGGTGTACACTTTCAATGTAACATAACATAACATCACGCCTTTTATCCCCTAAAGGATAGGTAGAGGTGCACATTACGGCACTTAATGCCACTGTACAACATAACACAAACTTTTCACTATTTATGTTATGAGTACCATTTAATAGGGGGTAAGCCTATTGCCATATACCGGGCATAACTATAGACTCCGTGCTACAACAGTCAATTTAAAAAAATCGAGTAATACTTTGCCTGACCCGGAAATTGAACCTGAGACGCCTTGCCCGGTCGCAAGTCACACTTGCGTCCCTTCAGCCAACAAGGCAGTCCTCTTTTCCAAATCAGTCCGAGGTAGACTCCTCGGCTATCATTGAATGTAATACCCATTTTTTATTACTTATATATATTATGAGTCCTATTTAAAAGGGGGAAGGTGCTAGCCTATTGCCATACACCGAACTCAAGTCCAAACGACTCCAGTTATCGCTGAGAACTTTAAAAAAAACAGTTTATAACCAAACTCCATACTACTACTCTTTGACTACCTCGTTGGCCTAATGGTTGCAAGTGCGGCTACCGGGCATGGGGTCTCGGATTCGATTCCCGGGTCAGGTAAAGTATTACTGGGTTTTTTAAAAAAATATCTCAGTAGTAGCACGGAGTCCGGAAATGTACCCAGTATATGGCAATAAGCTCACCTCCTATTACATGGGGCTCATAACATAAATAGTGAAAAGTGAGTGTTACTTCTGTGTGCACCTCTGCCTACCCTTTCGGTGATAAAAGGCGTGATGTTATGTGTTATGTTATGTCCATACTACTACTGAAAAATATCCCCCTGTTACTTATTTCCAAATGTTTCTCACTTAAGCAAATTATGAAAGAGTTCATTAGTAACTATTAATAATAATTACTAATGAACTCTTTCATAATTCGTAATATATTAGTAATATATTATTATATTTAGTAATATATTATAATATGATTATTTAGTTATTATTTATAAGTTAAATTGCTGCGCCCTAACAGGGTGATGTACTGTACTAGTAGTATAATACCACTATGTATATACATTTTGCAATAAATAAATAAATAAACTTTTTACAAGCTTACCCTGGCCTGGCAGGACTCAGCTTCACACTGAAAAAAAAAACAAATGGAGTTTATTTTAATGCAATATTGATTCTATACTTACATGCCTTCACCCGGCGGCGGGCTAACTCCAGACATAAACACCATATCATATCGTGAAAAATATATTAAACAGACTCTATACGTTACGATTTTAAAAAACTTAGAATCAAATTTCTAATTATAAGTTTGAAATTGCCAACCCTTGTTAATGTCATCGCATATCTAATAAGCATGGTGGTTGCGGCACGACGTTGTTTCGAATTTGCATACCGGTAACCGCCAGCGTCCTCTAGTTGCGCGCCGGCCCGCGAGGTGGAAGCTTGTCACCAGGAGTATAGTCTACGATAGGACTTTGTTTCGCTTACACCTGACGAGAGGCTCGCCATCGACAAGCCGTCGGTGCGCTTCACCGAACATGTTCTGTGGTGAGCTTCCACCTCGCAGGCGGCGCGCCGTAAGTACGTGGCCCACACGCTGAAAACACGCGAGCGCCTCAACTACAACTCATGAGAACCGCGCGCTGAACACTCGCCGTCGCCTTTTTGTATCGACGTTATGAAATATATCATACGATATACCATTTAAAGTTCATATTTAAATGTCATTTTAATTGCTGGGTTGGAGCCGTGTTTGTTTGGTTTGTGAACTCAACATCAAAGCTATTCTGTAACTTTCGATTCCAAGTGAACTCGATTTGAATTTCGAACTTTCGATCGCGAGCCGCCATATCATTGGATGTTAAAACAATCTCGACCAATGACGAGCGAGAATGCGATATAGGTGCCCATGGACACAAAGTCAAAATTAGGTACTTTTGGAACGTCACAAATTGAATTGTCCGTCCGTCTGTCTGTCAGTGAAGCTAGGCGCTCGTTCAAAAGTATTAGTTTCGAATGGAGAAGAACGAGCAAGAAATTCTATCGTTAGACTTTTAAACTGTCAAACACCAAGCGGTCACCGGTGACCGCAACCTATTGTTCTATAATTGTGTCTACAAAACCGGTACTCGACGAGTTAATTTTTTTTTTAGTCTCATTGATCCTTTACCTATTATATGTATATATATATGAGAGGACGATGTACAACGACAATACAACGTCAAAATTTAGCACTAGAAGTGCTAATGATGATGAGATCCTACGGCTTTTCATGAGACAAATATTATCTTACCTGTGCCGGATAAACTTGTTTCGGTCCAAGAACAGTTTCCATCGCCAGCCACTCTAGTTCAGAGCTCTTGTTTAGGTTCATAGATCTTAAAATGGTCTTGATAGATGAATCATTCTTAGGAGTCAGGGTAGGAAGCTGCGTTGTCGTTTCATGATAGTCCTCTGTCTGTTGGAATTTGTGTTTTATTGTTTTAGGTTATAAGTTCATTTTGTGATTGGCAACTGAATTGATTTTTTTATGAAAGTCTAGATTTTTGGAGTGTGGGCAATTGTTGTTAGATTAAGGGCTGATTGATGGGTACCAGATTAAAAAAGCATATATATACGGTCGAATTGAGAACCTCCTCCTTTTTTGAAGTCGTTAATTAGAGAATTGAGAACATTATTTGTATGAACTACCTTATAAAGGTGGTTATACGGTAAGTTAATTTCGTTAAATTTTAATAATAATAATATGACATTGCGGTAGCATGAAAATATGAGACTGCACAGTTAGTGCAATGGCGTGTCGTGGGTTGGAGTCCCGCAGGGAACAACTACCTACTATCCTCTATGTCAATGTGTTTTAGACATAAAAACGAATTGTCGACGAATCTAGCTTAATTATTTCTTATATTATAAATGGGTTAATTAATATCAGTCTTTAGATGAAGATGATGATGATGATGATAGGTGTCAGTATTGACTACTAACATTATACTACTTGCTACTCACAGTCAACCCTAATCGAGCCACATTCTCGTCCACGACAGGAACGTAAAGTACACCCTGTAAATATTAACGAATACATGATTACCGTTCTGCAGTACTGGCCATTTAAAAAAAAAATATTTTTTATTTGGTTAAGAATTCTATTTTCAAATTAATTTCATTTCAAAAATATGTTTTTTTATGCAGTCTTTTGTTTATTGATTAGTATTTTATTTGTTTGTTGTATTGTTATATTTTCATTGCATTTCAATCTTTTTCGTCATTATGGATACGATAATATTATGTGAGTGAGATTTTATATAGTCTGTATAGAAACTAGCGTACCCGCAAGCAATATTTTATCTTGGAAATTTATCTTTACATTTTTGTTGTTTTTCTTGTATTAGAAACTTCTCCTAATAATAACAAACCCAACAAACTTAAAATAATGAGCGAAATCGGTTCATTTGTTCTCAAGATTTGCGCTTAGCAACATATTTAGTGATTCGTTTTTATATTATAGATAGATGAATCGCTGAATGTTTTACCATGCGCAAATCTCAAGAACAGCTGAACTGATTTCGCTAATTCTTTTTATATTGGGTTTGTTATTGTTAGAAAAACGAGTGTTATAAAATTAGCAAGGTTGCGCTGAATAATTTCCAATTTGAAAATAGAAAAGTTAAAAGAATACTCACCTCAATAATGAACTGTTGGTTCTTGTGAGTTTTTTTATCCTGAAATTCATTTCACTTGGTGTTAGCAATCAATTCAAAATAGATAAATTGATATCATTGAAAATAAAAAATAAAAAAAATATCTAAATGAATTATCTGAAACTCAGCTGCCTTATCATCATCATGTCAAGATCCAGACCCGAGCGTACAACGCGTCGCGTTCCGCGCGCGCCTCAATGAGCCATCAGACCACCACAGATCCCTATCTGTCAACCCTATTGGGCCCTCCCAATAGAGCTGATGCCAATACTAAGCCGTGGAGTACTTAACCGTTACCGGGGCTCCGGCTCGAAGTGCAGGAGTAGGAATGGGGTGGTTTGGTGGTCAGTAATACTCTGACACTCCCACTTGTCGCTCAAAAAAAATAACCACTGCTGAACATAGCCCGCTTCATTGTCTTCCAAATCGGTTGAAAGCGACCTGCATCCAGTAACTCTCTGTAACCTTCATTATGTGACAGCACGGTTGGTGCGGTGGCTGGGCAACCGGCTGCCGTGCAACGTGTCGCGGGTTCGATTCCCGCACGGAACAACACTTTGTGTGATCCACAAATTGTTGTTTCAGGTCTGGGTGTCATTGTGTATGTGAACTTGTATGTTTGTAAACGCACCCACGACACAGGAGAAAATCCTGATGTGGGGCAGCGTTTTAAAAAAAAAAAAGAAAGTAAACATTTTTCAGCAACTTTTATGTACACTTCGGAGCAAAAGAACGAAGCCACTAGCATTTGACAAATATTTTATTAATTGTACTATCAAACTTTACCGTCACTTTCGCCAGTCCATCACTTGTATCTGGCTGAAACGACGTATTACTATTTAATATCAAAATCATTGGAACACATGGTTTTATAGCACATTTGCGATAAGAATGCAGGAAATCATCATTGTCTATCGGCCTAGACCGCCACCTAAACTGATTTTAAACTTTTATGTGTATGTTTTATAATAACTATCGTGAGAAATACGTACAAAATTAACTAAAAATCTGCGCGACATCACCGCAACTGGGCACGCTGATCATGAGAAAGAATACCTCTGTAGTTCTAGTAGAGCTTTTCTCAGTATATTCACGTGAGGAACCCGCGATTTTTAGTTCAACATTAAGTGTATTTTTATAAATTTATTAAACTTATTCGTTTAGAATATATTTGTTTTAATTTCACACCAATATAAATACACCTTTATATACAGTTGCACTGATCACTCACTTCATTCTCAACGTGAACAAACTATAATATCAAGTTATTATGAACGTAACCAGGATAGATTATATATCCCCAGTTAAGTTAATTTTATTTTTAATATGTAATTATAGTTCCTAACTTAATGTGATAATTTCAATTCTCCTCAATTTCAATAATGTTACTACTTTAAATTTTATTATTTGTAATGTTTATAATTAAAATGTCTAATAAATAATGTATAAAATAATATAATTGTATCATATAGGTATATAAGTGATAAGAAATTTTAATAGTAATAAGTTTATAGTAATTAATTAAGTTAATAATGAATAGAATAAGTACATAATATATTAGATGATTATTTAGTTATTATTTATAAGTTAACTCGTCGAGTACCGGATTTGTAGACACAATTATAGAACAATAGGTTGCGGTCACCGGTGACCGCTTGGTGTTTGACAGTTTAAATTGCTGCGCCCTAATAGGGTGATGTACTGTACTAGTAGTATAATACCACTATGTATAATTATACATTTTGCAATAAAAAAATAAATAGATACAGTACACCGACTTTATTTAGTTCTACAACTTACCGAAGTTAATGGCACCCAACGTATTGGTGCTCCGAAATCGTCCTGAAAACAGTATTCAATTCATCATCATCATTATATTAGCCACAAGAAAGAAAAATTTTATTCTCTGTAAAAAACAAATGACATGCGATATTGTATTACGAGACATGTTCATGACCTAAGTCTGCCGTGAAACGAGACCAGTTAAGACGTGCACTATTAAACATAACACATATATGTATGTTTACACACACATATATAAGTAGTACACCTAAAAGAGCACTAACATAACATAACAATACGCCATTTATCCCAGAAGGGGTAGGCAGAAGTGCATATTACGGGACTACATGCCACTGTCATATTAATATCACACTTATTGGACGGATCAACTGAACTGTGATCTCAACAGTTCAGTTTCATGAGCCAGCATTACTCATTCATTCTACGAAAAGGAACGATGTCAAATATATTCTACTGTAATCACCACATGATCTTAAAACAGGTGTACATACTATAATAGTCATCATCATCATACCATCACACCTTTTATTCTCGCAGGGGTAGGCAGAGGTGCACATTATGGCACTTAATACAATGTAACACCCACTTTTCACTACTTATTTTATGAATCTCATGTAATAGGAGCCTATTGCTAAAATTATACCGGGCAAGAATAGCAGTTACTAAGATCTATGATCAATTATCTTCAGCCAGCGGCTTTGCCAGCCTGTGTGATAAGACTGACCTATGAGTTGTTACAGAGCATAATCTACCGTTATTCGAAATTTCATCCCGATCCCTTAAGCTGTTTTGAGATGAAGGAGTAGCAGACAAACAAACAAACAAACATACAACAAAATACCTTGTTTTTCACTTACACGTTGTTGTAACTGTTGAATTCGCTCCTCTTTGGTTGGTGGCTGTAATCATAGTAAGTAAGGACTTGTGAAGACCGTCTGTTTGTACTGGTGGTGGTCAGCTGTCAACTTATTCTCACACTCCATAAATACATACATAACTTCACGCCTGTCTCCCATGGGGTAGGGAGAGACTATGGAATGCCAATTACTACGATTCCTACATACCTCTTTCGCTTCATCAACAGTCAATCTTTTCATGCAAGCTCGTCGGTTAAGGGTACTTTTTATTTGGCTCTTCTTTAATATATCGCCAATCTAGTCAGTATATGTCCGCCTAGGGTGCCCTCTACCGACGGCCCCATTCATATTCGCTCTGTATACTTCTTTCGTTACTCTACTTTCATCCATCCTCTCTACATGTACAAACCAGCGTAACTGTACAATGTAACACCCACTTTTCACAATTTATGTTATGAGTCCCATGTAATAGGGGGTGAGCCTATTGCCATATACCGGGTACAATTTCAGACTCTTGAGACTGAGATTTTTTTAAAACTCACTAATACTTTGCCCGACTCAGGAATTAAACCCGAGACTACTTACCCGGCAGTCGCACTTGCAACCACTCGGTCATCGAGGCAGTCATTTGGACTGCTACAATATTTTTTTATTATTTTTGTTATTAAGTCAATCACTCGTACCGAAAATCTCCAAAATTTGTTCATACAAAAGTAGTATCTAAACATCGGGCATAAGGTATATAGTACAGTGAGCGGAAAGCGGTCACCGGTGAGTGCTTGGATCTTGACCAGAAATAAGTCATTTGTCATTTCAGCTTTAATACATTGTAACAAAGTTTATATTCGTACTTACGTGTTTTGGTGTCGTTGACTGTGGGGTAAATATAAATTAATTATTTAAAATAACAATACTTATCTTTGCCCTCGCACTACACTTTTGGTTTCTCGAAGGGAAATAGGAAATCGCGCATAACATGTAACACCCACATTTCAGTAAATAAGTTATGGGACCCATATTTCTTTTTCCTTTTCTTTAGTTTTTAAGTAAAAATGTAAACCCCTGTAATTAATTATTAGCACACTCCTACATACTACTGTTACCAGAGTTGAAGAGTATATATGTGTGTATGTGAGTATAAATGAATGAATAAATATAAAGGTCATCCCACGTTTAAACAGCACGTCTCCGGCGCGGCGTCGGCGCGCTTCCGACTAGCGGGCGGTGCGTGGCCGGTGCGGCGGCTGCGAGGTGAAGGTTTTAATGCTACATTTGCACTCTCGCGCGAGTCGAGACGAGGCCAAGATACATTGTCGTTATTCTAAAAGAGTCGTAGTCTTTCTCGCATTATAAGATTGCAATGTACCTCAACCTCGTGTCATCTCGCGCGAGAGTGTAAATGTAGCATTACAATACAAGTACCTACGATGCGACGTTGTTTCGCTGGCGCCTGGTGGGCGGCTCGCCGTCAACTCGCCAAAGCCGTGCCTTCGTCGCGCGGGCAAAGCACGCGTGTGCCCCGAGTACACCTCGAGTGGAACGCGCGCTCACCACCCGTCGTCGGCTTTTGTATTGACGTTACGAAATGTATCATACGACATACGATTTAAAGTTCATATTTAAATGAAAATTTAATGGTTGGGTTGGAGCCGTGCTGTTTAAATGTGGGATGTCCTTTAGTTTCAAAGTAAATAATAATCTTACGGGTTCAGTCATCGGACCAGCTCTAATCATTTGGTCTTCATCCTAAAGATATAATGATATCACAATTAGTACCAACAATATTTTCACTTACACTTAGAGCAATGAAATGGAGCCACTAGCAATTGTTATTTTTCTTTTCTTTATAAATCTTTTGATACAAGTATTTTATTAATTGGTAACATAACATCACGCCTTTTCATCCCCGAAGAGGTATGCAGACGTGCACATCACGGCACTTAATGCCACTATACAATGTAACACCCACTTTTCACTATTTATGTTATGAGTCCCATGTAATAGGGGGTGAGTATATTGTCATATACCGTATACTTTTAAAATGAGAGCATTTTGTTATAAAAGTAATATTTTAAGGAATTTAAAATGAAAAGAAAAACGGCAGTGGCACGGAGCCACTGTACGCCCAAGTGTCCTTTAAATTCAAATTACTTTTGTTTTCCTAGTCTCAACCTATGAGCGGATTTGCTATACCCCACGCTTTGTAGATGGGAATTACAATTAGGTCACTGATCTTAGGAAGTTAGTTATTTAGGTCCTCCTGGTGTGACAGCATCGGAGGTTTGGCAAACATACTTTTGTTTTCATTTCTATATTAATTTTATTATTTACTAGCTTTTACCCGCGGCTTCGCTCGCGTCACAAAAGGATGAAAAGTAGTCTATGTGACATATACCAATACATACAGCGCCATCTATACCAATACTTTTGTTTTCCCTCGGGAATA